GTGTGTTGATTAGACACAGACGTGGTCAAATAGAAAAGTATGAGTTATTTTCACCCTGTTTCGGTTAAGGTCATGAAGGACGGGCAGATGAATTTTCCCACAATATATGAGTAGAGCTGATGTTTTGCACTCAATTTCATATTGCCTTGCTTTCCAAAAAGGTATTCTCATCTAGGGTGGAGTGCAGTTTTAGCCTCACCTAGGTCTGCGCGAAATTCAATGGAAAACATCAGCTCCACTCATATCATTGTGGGAAAATTCAACTACCAGTCCTTCATCACCTTGAACGAATAGGGTGAAGATAATTCATATATCTTATTTATTGGTAGTATCGAAAACCTGCTCACTCACGAAAAAGATAAAAATATGTTCTGATGCCTTCCTATTTCACCTTGGGAAAGTCAACTGTCACCTTTCGGCTCATCTTGCGTGACCGAGACTAACGCAATTTTGTAGTCAAGACCTACAGATGGCCTAGCAACGCAAAGAAGTGATAAGAACCAGCTGCATTATTGCTGTGGTCAACCAAGCACGATTTGTCTAGGGTCAAATGGAATGCATACAGACCATGGGGGACAGCGCATTACCTGTAAATTCGGATGCTTGTTAGCTTTACCAGCAGAACTCTATCTTGGGCGATGAGGCACCAGGAACAAACTAGTGAGAATCACAGTCATTGTGGCCACTTGAATTTATCAAGGTAACCTAAGGACTATGGGATGTATTGGCCATAGTTCGTTTGAGCTGACGAATTTTTCCACAATCATATGAGTAGAGCTGACACTTCCATTTAATTTCACATAGCCCAGGTTTCCCAGAAAGTGTTCTCATTCAGGGTGGACTGCAGCGAGAGTCGAACCATGACAGTTCAGCGCATAATCTCAACACGTTAGCCACTACGCCATATTGCCACTAGTACCCCTTAGTCAGAGTGAAGATGCGCGTTTCAGGGAAGGCCGAGAATTTTCCCATATCATTCTTTTTTGAGATTGTTGATGATACAAAGTTATAGTAGCCATGACAATCGACTAGATTACTTATTTTTAATTTATAAGTAGGGTTTCGAGACTACCACTCTTGAAGCAAGATAAAGTCACTCAAGTTCTTGTACAACTAGGCTAGTCAACAAAAAGAAAAGCCTCCAGAAATCAGAGTGTGTTGTGCATATCAAGTGTGTCACATCTATCCTGTCACCCAAGGACAGTCGTGGCAATTTTGCGTAGTGATTAACGTGTCGAGATTACACGTGACACTGTCATGGTTCGACCCCCGCTGGGGGTTTTGATCGAACCTGCAGTCCACCCTGGATGTGAAACCTTTTGGGAAGTCAAGGCTATGTGAAATTCAATGGAAGCGTCAGCTCTACTCACATTATTGTGGGAAAATTCAACTACCAGTCATTAATCACCTTAAACGAAATAGGGTGAATACATCTCATTCAACTGATTTATTGCTAGTCTTGAAACCCTACTTATAAACGAAAAGTAACATAATGACTTATAGCTGAATTAGGATTGTAGTCAACCGAGGTCACTTAAAATGTAAGTTAACGAATGATTGTGAAATGTCCCCTACAATACTATAACTATGCCTCAGAATGCCGCATAATTTCATTCAACCTTGCCTCCAAAGAGACTATCTCATCCAGTTTAGACTTTGTATGAGCTCTCATCAGCACCCTCAGCAAGAGTCGACACCGGGTCGTGAGTTACGCCATTATATAACCACGAGTGCCAATGCATCAGAAGGCAGATGTCACATTCAAGGTAAGCCTGGCTTCCTACAGAATACATTAGTAAGAAAGCACTGTCGCACAGGCTCATTGGAGGGACTAGGCCTCAGCTTGCGTCCTTAACGGGGCTGTGAAGCATAATCTTTGCGACAGGATGCTTAGTCTGCATGGCACTAGATCCGATAAAGTATGACACTTTTGAGCCACCGAACACAATACTATTTACATAGAAGGATTCACACAAGTCACACTTGCAGAGATTTGGCCATCGTAGGCCTAATTATAGCCATGTGAGAAAAATTCCACGATCATTTCTTAATTCACCCTTGAAACAAACTAGAGTCGTCAAATTTATTGCACAAATTGGCTAGTCACTAAACCACAAAGCCCCCATAAAATAAGTTTGTGTTCAACAGATCAAGAGTGTCCTAGCTTGTTGGATCATGGGCTGCAGCCCCAATGATGATGCGCATCCGACTCGGGGGCTGAGGTACAGTCACTCCGATGAGACTGTGCAATTGAATTTCCTGTATCAATCAGAGGAGCATGCAAGTTCTCCTTAAACCAGCATCGTCTGACAGTTGATACCAACCTGGAGCTGAGTGAGGGAGGATTTGGACAAGTCGCGGTGGCCCATTTTCACATTTCTCTCTCTCTCTCTCTCTCTCTCGCCAAGTACCAGCTCGACCCTTGCTTCCGGACTCATCATCGCTGCTGCCATTCGTCCCTTTGCCAACCCCTTCTACCAGTCACCCCTCGGTCTGAGCCTGTGACAACAGCGCTCCTCTCGTCATCCAGCCTCCCAGCTAGCCATAACTGTGTCCCAGATGACCTGGATACCATCGTCACCTTGGCCTTAGTTTGAGGCCTCCCCCTCGCGTCAGCAGAAAGGCTAGGACTCAGAGGCTGCGGTCATGGCAGTATAGGCATGGTTGAAGCACAGGCTGGCTGCAGCGAGGCTAAGTTGGATGTCCGGTATGATAAGGAGGCCAGTATGCTTGTGTGTTTGTGTGTATGCCTGCATTTAGGTGTGGTATGCAGGGACAAACGGTATATTGAGGCCGGCTGACTGATAAAGTCGTCAAGGCGGACATTTCGGTCTACAACAAAGGATTGTTAAAGCACTCTCTGACCCAAGACATCGTCATCACGACAGCTGAGCTCGTGGCATATGGTGAAGATGAGCTATGGAAATTGCCAGATGTAGGAGAAATAGGTTGCTAGGGCGGAGTTTCAATCTTAGCACGTTGATAACCTAGAAGCTAGCTTCGTACAGGCCCAGATTGAAAACAAGATAGCTCGAGACGAGGTGCATATAGCCCGGGTACCAAAGAGGCATGCAGACGAGTTGACGGTACTGACAAACATGTATTG